GATAATAAACAGCTAAAAAAAAGATACAATAATTATGATTGACGAAGTTAATTGAAAATGTCTATGATAGACATAATAAATATATATGAATTAAGAAATATTGACTTCTATTTATCTATGGTCATGACTACAAATAACACAATGTTTAGTTGATAGGAGATATTTGTATTAAAATTAGAAAATAGAACATTGAGGTGGAGAGATAGTTGAAAAGTTCAAATTGTCATAGACATTACATGTGTAATTATGAATAATATCAATTGATATAATCTACAGAAAACTGGTTCGTGATATAAAAGCAAAAACACAATGGGAATTCGCACGATACAAGATAAAATAACAAAAAAAGTAAATTAATTGTGGTAAGAGTCAGAATGGGATATGAAATTGATTATTTTCCAATTAATATCAGATGGATTTTGTGGATATTATGGTAATTTCAATGGTTAGAATCATGAGTCAGTTGAAGCTAGACCATCATGGAAAACCTGGAAGCACTGGACGGCTGTTTCGTCCTATTGTGGGACTCTTCAGCAGTGCGTATTTAAAAAAAGGGGGCAAATACATAACATAGTCAACTCGTTATATCTATTAATTATAGGTTCCTAATTGTATGATATGATAAATATGTATTTACATATAAAGTAATTGATGTTAAGTACTACTTAATTCAGTTTATACAAATCTGACTATTAATCTAACTGTAAATAAACCATATAAAAAGTGATGTGTTCATATTTTGGAAGTCAAATTAATCTTTATTACAAGTCATTGTGTTCTCATTCCACGTTGTCGGATTCAAGGCTTAAATGCTAGACCCAAGTCGGTTAAGTATCCGCGGATATAACATAGAAAAAAACAGATATAACACCGGGAAAGGGGCAAAGATAACAAGTGAGGATTTATTACATATCCATCAATACATCCCAAACCATATCTAAACAAAATGGTTCTTATGTGTTTTATTTACAGTGATTGGATTTTTAAAAAAAACTAGGCTGAATAACAGTTGGCATTAATTGATCAACGACTTAATGGCTGAGTATAATTTACGGTCATATTAGATTGAACTGTTTCATATACTCAACAAATGTAAACAATGTATTAAGTGAAATCAATACTCTTTAAAATATGAATAAATGTCATATATGATCGAAGGATATCAACGTTGTATGTCATTAAAATTTCCTTTATTAAGACTTTAGCTATTTTATAACAAATAAGCCCCTTAAAATAACTAATGTTCACTGTGAGACCTGAAATTCATGTGAAGTTAAAGGTTTTCAATGATTTGTTTCAGTTGGTACTGATGACATAACAATAGTTATCAGAAGGGGTTTGTGGAGATTTTTAGAAATTTTCATAGATTGAAATCATGAGTCAGAATGGGATATGAAATTGATTATTTTCCAATTAATATCAGATGGATTTTGTGGATATTATGGTAATTTCAATGGTTAGAATCATGAGTCAGTTGAAGCTAGACCACCATGGAAAACCTGGAAGCACTGGACGGCCGTTTCGTCCTAGTATGGGACTCCTCAGCAGTGCACATCCACGATCCCGCGCCACGCGGAGCTCGAACCCAGGACCTATTGGCTTCGCGCGCGAGCACTTAACCATTAGACCACTGAGCCGGCATCCAACTGACTCATGATTTTAATCTGTGAAAATTTCTAAAAATCTCCACAAAACACATTCTGATAATAATAATCACCTGCTCACTAGTGACTGACTTCAAGAGATACTCCTGGAGTTCTAGTGGGAAGCCGTTACCAGTGGAGTACAACCAGGTCTGTTGTGAGATATCAGCTCACTGAAGACAATGGTATATGGTGGCGCAACTTCGTGGATTGGTTGAAGTTAGACATTAACACCGTTGGATGCCGGCTCAGTGGTCTCAGGGATAACAGTAGTTGTCATAAATCATATAAAAACATTCGATTAAACAACAATTCAATCTGTATTTTCTAGAATGAAATACATGGTGCTAATTGGCTGATCATCAAACATTCACATCTGATTGTATGTACAGAACAGTCTTAACATTAGACTTATTGAGTTTTCTCATTTCCAGATATTTTCACATAGAATGATGGTTCGTCTTTCATTATCATTTTTGAAGGCTGATATGATGCTAACAAGTAAATCTAACAATCAAGTTCTAATTGTTTGAAAGGTCAGTGATTTTTTTAATCGGTTGCATGTGACATGCTTATGTTCATATTTTGTAGATTAGTACGTTTTTTCATGATATGAAAAATCATGTGCTCACTAGTGATTAATTTCGACACATAATTCACGGTGTTTAAGCAAGAAAATCTGATGAGTAGAATTACATTTTATTGTGCATAACACACACCTTACCAGAAGCAAGACGTGAAGATTGCACAGTATTACGAATTGACTGAAATTAAAAATATCAACCAATAAATATTAATCTGGTTGTTGGAGTATTAAGTATTCGCCGCGGGACATGAACGTCCTGGTTTCGATCTCAGCACTTCCTATATTTCAATAATCGTCTAAGGTCATTTTTTGTAATGTTAATTAAAAGATGATGAAACAGATTAAATAACACAAAAATGGATTTGAACTGATAACAGACTAATAGATGTATTCTTAGTAGTAGTAATAGTAGTAGTAGAGTAATGATAAGAATCGTATGAATAGCGCGATAACATGAACACAATAGTTTATCTCATGGGATATAAATCCAAAATTGATATAACGAACGTGTTATAATAGTAGCGATAACAAAATTTAAAAAATAATAATGGTAATAATAAGGATAAATTAAAAACTAGGAAATCTGTGTTTGATCAGTTTAAATGTGAAAATAGTAAAGAAGAGGTATGGAAAGGGTAAACAGAGATGAATAAAAGGTATAAAGAATTAATGAGATCGTTTATTAATCGTTGTCTGATCACAGAAAAAGACAGGAGTAATAAAAACTTTTAAAGAACACAAAGATTGTCAATTTATCCATATACTATCCGCTACATATAGGGAAAAAGAACAAAGTAGTTAAGTGACTTATTAACCCCTCTGAGTGGCCTCTTAAGAAAACCACCTGATTCAATCAGGGCTCCCGGGTAGTACCCCAGCCCTCACACAAATTGAATGAAGTGTAGCGCATCTATATTTGGTGCCTTCTTGTAATATTTATGTAGCTAAATAAAAAAACTGATCATTAATTTGAAGTTCCCTGATACTTTAGGAGCATTAAATGACGACTGAAGAACTCTAACAAATGATAAAACAAACTTTTAGATGTTCCTTTATTTCATACTATTTTTAAATACAAAGAATACAATTTCTGTATTTAAGTAGTTCTATCTTGGGTAACATTTATAAGTTATGCAGTGAAAGTTTATCAGTGTAATGAGATTGAATTTGTAGTCTTACAGGACAGATATTCATTAAAAACGAGAACACATTAGACGTATTTTTCATTTCACCATGAAATTCCCCACTAGTTACCGAGCGCATAGCTTTCAGGCCTCCCAGAATGTTCTTGGCCATCAGACCACTGGTTTACATTTTCAACTACTTTCACTTGATATTATGTAATCATTATTAAATATCATTAGAGATGCTTATCTGAGTCCCTACATTGTTGTAAGTACATGATTATTTAATTTTGATAGGACAATGACAATACGAAATCGATCCATAAAATGTAATGCATTTGTACCATACATTTCCAACAATCTGGTCGCATATATGACTTATCTATGTATTTTATATGAAAATTAATAAAAGTTCATTCAATGAAAGTACAAGGCACATGTTTCACAATCATTTATTGCATTGTTTGGTTACTAACTCTTGTGTATGTGTTCACACAAACATGAGAATTTGTAAATGCAATTGGATGTGGCAGAATAGTTCGTATAATGTCTAGGTCAATGTGAAATCATGGGGTTGGTCTTCTCAATTACAACCAGTTTAGCAGCATAATATGTTTTCTCGACGTCTACTTTTAGTCTCTGTCTTAAAATCATCACCTCTAAATGGTAGAAAAATATAAACACTTTTCATTATAGCCGAGTTAAAGAGAGATTTAGGTTATGACTGACTTTGATAGCTATTTATAAACATTAACGAGTAACCGTTTGATATTAGCGAATCGGTCAGCAGTTTCTAACGTATCTGTAGTACATATTCTTTGAGTCCTGTTCTACTGTCAATATAGGGGGCTGTAGACGTAGAAATAGATGTTCAGAGAATTTTCGTTTTTAACAGTCCATTCACTGAAGTCAGTTCGTAATGTCAAACAATAGGAACTTGATTTAGTGTGTGTAAATGATACTCAGTAAATGTAGTCAGATCTATTAATTAGTGCAAACGCATCGATGAAAATTCATTTTTTTGAGATCATGAATCGATCAGTGTTAGATCACCATTGAAAACGTGGAGGCGCTGGATGTCTGTTTCATGCATCGGCTGGAGTTAGACATTGACATCATTGGATTCGAGCTCAGTGGTCCAGAGGTTAAGCAATTGTGTGTGGGATCGTGGATGAACGTTGCTGAGTCCCACACTCGGAAGTAACGTTTTTTAGTGCTTCCAGGTTTTCGATGGTGGTCTAACATTGATCGATTCATGACCTAGATCGAAAACTCAACAATCTCCACAACCACATACTGATAAGAAATTCATTTGACAAGTATATCATGAACATGATAACTTATATACTTCAAATCTATGTGAATCAACTCCTACATGTATATTGTTTTCATTTGATAAACCTTCACCCTCCAAAATGAATATTCTTATTACCATTATACTCCACTTTCAACGTGGTCATTAATAGAATTCCTAGCTCACACATTTACACGCATATACAAATGAACAAATTTATGCACATATGTTGTTTATTCACGTAGAGAAGAGTTTTAAAGAGAAACATGAGAGAATAGCCAAGAAAAGAATGGATAAACAAAAAAAATCACATAGTAAGATGGAGTGATATGGTGATTTTATCTTATTTCAAGATTTAATACAAATTGTACACATCATGAATGTGATCTAATGATCACATCACTAAACATGATAAACCATATGACTGGATTAATTATGTACAGATTAATTAATATGGATTATAATAACTATAGTAATGATAATAATAATAATAATAATAATAATAATAATAATAATAATAATAATAATGATAATATGATGGATTTCACTGCATAAATGATTGAACATTATAGCTTTTTGTTGTTGAATAAACTGAATTTCCATTTACTGATTATTTTAAGAAATAGTTGTGTATATATGTATTTGTGTGATGTTCATATGATGATAGCTGATCACGTAAATATGATATTTATTACAGTGTGTGTGTGGAGAGAGAGTGTGTGTGTTAAAGTGCTAGTTTTACGTTATAGGTAGATTTCAGTAAAATAACCACCGAGAAACTAGAAAACATAAGGTATTTGCTTCGTCCAAGTATGGAAATTCTCAGCAGTGGAGATTCGCACTCTTGCCAATGATTATACCCGAGAACATCAGGCTTTGTAGCTATGATTCAGTAAAACATGCCATTTCATTTTATATTTATCGTATCTTTTACATATATATAATAATTCTGAAATGTACTATTAGAGAACGACAATGTAACTTGCAGGTCATAGTTATGGGTTGACAAGCCTGACTCATTTGTTTCTTATCGAATTAATCATGGATACACTTATGTCGTGGGGCGTCAATTTCTACCACTGTTATTCCTTGTACTAGTACATTATTCATCAATGCGATCAACAAGAATCTAACCATCTCTGTCTAAAATGCTGGTAACTTAATGGCGATGTCGAGGGAATCAGAGCAGGATGTACATATCCATATAGAAGATTGATCAATTACAGTCATAAGCGTTGGTGGGAAGATTTAAATAACTAAATACAAAAGTGAATTAAATTTCATCCTATTGCACAAGCCAGTGGCGTTCTGAATTGAGTAGCTAAGTAGACAACGTGATGGCATTTGATGCAAACGGTACTAGGTTTGAATATTAACTGTGGGATATGGCAGGTAAATCTGACTGACGAGTCCTAAATAGAACGAAACGTGCAGCCTTGTTTCCAATACTAGTCACTATTCATCTTTGTGTAAAAATTTAACTGAAGTTCACAATCTACGAATATTCTTAAATATAGATCGTACCTTTGAATTCTATTCGTACAAAAGAAGCAGCTAGTCTATTTCTATGGGCAAAATTACAAATTCAAGCAATCTGAGATAACAAGATTATCAACAAATATCACTAATGCCAGCTATTGTACATTCAGCATGTCTAAGCTCCATTAATTATGACGTCTTAATATAACTCCTGGAATATTTTTTGAAGTCAGTCACTAAGATAACGAATACAGCTTACAAATTTAACCATTCTACAGAGAATTTTTTTAAAAATTCATATATAATATCTGTGTTGAACGACCTAATTATTATTATGACAGATTAGAGGAAATCATACTAGATAGAAATGTAATTTCAGTTTCAGTAAGAGTATAGAAACACTGTGATGTAAGTACATAAAGCTAAGAAGTTCTGAATTTTTAACAAAAAGCTTTTATTGAACAATTCACTCTTATGGTATAACTATAATAAATACCATTCAAGATGACTGAATTTTCATTGAAGTTGAATATTGAACAAACTTCTGACTTTTGGATAACTAATGATTGATTGTTCAGTTGTTTGATCGATTTGATAGTCGATACTGTAAGTAGGATGTAAGTGACCAATCATATTTCCAATTGGATACAGATTTTCTCTTTCTCTCTCTCACACACACACAGTTTTTCTGTATCTGAGTATACATTTTTGTTGCTTAACACTTAAACTAATTAAACTAACATCAACTTATTCAATATTCATTTTAATTCATATGGATGGATAAAGATTAGTTCATTGTAAAGGAGAATAAGCAGTATATTGTTTTTTACCAAGCAATTTTTTTCTTATGCTTGTGATATTCTAATATATTTAAACACAGCGAGAACAGCAAGGTTTGCATCTGCTGCATGCAACCTAAAATTACAATTAGTGGTCTAGAGGTTAAGAATTCGCTCGCGAAATCGAAGGTCCTGGATTTGAGTCCCGCGTGGGAGATTGGTAATACGCATTGTTGAGAAGTTCCGTATTAGGACGAAACGGCTGTCCAGTGCTATCAGGTTTTCAATTGTGATCTAATTTGGATCGTCTCGTGAATTCAACTAATAAATGTGTGAACATCAATCAGACTATGTAAGAGATGAATACCAGAGATTAAAATATGAAATTAATAAAGGGTATTAGATGAATATCCAGTCACAATCACAGGGAAAGGCTAATCATACTTTACTTCTGTATACATAGGTTAGGTCGTAAACATTTGATAGCGATTGTCTCTGACAAACGGAACAAGACCTGTTCCTATTAATTATTTTAAATGCATTACTCACACTTACCTTATATCCACTATCCAAAAGGTGTCTAGCAATTGCACTTGTAATGACTTCACTCCCTTTCAGCCGTGGGTTCTTAGGAATCTGTTCAGAAAACGATGTGCTTGCTGCTGCAGATATATATGACTTCACAAATACAATTGGAGCCAACATTGGAAGAATATTGATCTACTTTTGGATGGTAAAATGAATGTTTGGTGTTGTATGGTGAAACCAGTTGAGCATCGAGGATGCTTCATTTCAGTGTTGGATTGATTCCACCATTGATTCTTCCCGTAATCTTACCTCCATTGAATGGAAGGTGAACGAAGACAAATGTCTTTACAACAATTGGTTGTTTATCATCCGTGGGATATTCTTTAGTAATCTTAACGTTTGTAGATAGTACACTATCACTGTGTAAAATCTCTTCTTAACTGTACACAGTTTTATGGTATAAATTGTTTAGTTATCTATGTTGATTAGTAATTGTTGTTATTGAGTACATATTGCGAATACGTCATATTAAAAATGTTGTTATGTATAAGAAGAGTAATAAACTTCTACTGTTCAGTATCAGTATGTATGTATGAGTAACAATGAGAAGTAATTGTCATTTGAATTGCATTTTGTAATTCACAGAACAGCATGAATGAAACTTGAGTGGTCTGTCTAGATGTTGTCATTTAATAGTAAGTTGGATCGTGGATAACAGTGTCATTCAAGAGGAGCGTATTTCTCCTTATGAAACTCATTAACTGAATTTACTGACCCAATGTTTCAGCGTGAGAACAGTTGAAATTTGATGCGAAAATGAATAATTTCAAGTATGAATGAGAATAATAACATTGAGATATAGGTAAATCTATCTAAATGATTTTGAATAAGACAAAACACTTGTGTCCAAGTATATACGAGCGAAATATACTAACGACTCAGTTTTCAAAATAAAGGCAACTGTTCACCATACAGTAAAGAAACATTTGGTCTAAAAAATATAAATTTTCACTGTCTAAATCATGAACTGATGTCAGACAGACTACTTTTAGAAACCTGATATCATTGGACGACCGTTTTGTCCAAATATGAGACTCCTCATAAGTGTGTATCCTCGACTTCGCACACAGAAATCCAATCTAAAATCTTCAGTCTCTCGCGCAAACTCACTATCTTTTGACCACTAACCCGGAATTCAGTAGTGTTAATATCTAAATTTAGTCAATTCACGGTTTTTTACAACCCTCCATTGATTACTGGCGGTGGATAACTGTTTCACATCCGACATAGACTGAACTCCATCGATCACTAGAACTCAAGATGTTCTATCTTAAAGCATATCACTAGTCAACACATCATTATTATTAATATAAAGGATTAATGGAGGTTATGGCATTTTTCACAAGTAAAAACATTAAAATGATCTTTACTAAAATATAATTTCCACAAATTCTTTACACTAAAATTATTAGTTTCAAAATTTTTTTTAAACATTTACATCGTTAGAAAGTAATTGATCCTGAAGATTTAGAATTATTTTGTGAAACCTTAATATACTTATATATTTCTTTACAATTCTAAAGAAAAGCAGTGACCAGTGAAGTTCAACCTGGTCTGCTGTGAAATAGTAACTCACTGAAGACAATAGTGTGTCGTTCAATTTCGTGGATTGGTTGAAGTTAGATATTAACATCGGTGAATGCCGGATCAGTAGTCTATAGGTTAAGCGTTCGCGCGCGAGACTCATAGGTCCTGGGTTCAAATCTCAAGAAGTGGGTTCATGGATGCATACTACTGAGAAGTTCCACAACAGGACGAAATAACCGTTCAGTGCTTCCAGGTTTTCTATGGTGATCTAGCTTCAATTGACTCATGATCTCAACTATTAGAAATTAAACTATAAATGCTAATTTATGACCCTTTTTGTACAATTTAGAACTGAATAAATGAAAGAATTTGATTGTTGTGTTTTGAGCATTGAATTTAACTCATAAATTCAACTGAAAATATTTTGTAAAAATTTTTTTTCCTTTTCCAGTCGTCTTAGTAAATTCAATATTCAATATATTTTTCGTCAACACACTTTTTGAATATTAACAATCAAATGTTTTTGATTGAGATCATGAACCGATTAATGTTAGACTACCATTGGAAACCTGGAAGCACTGAACGGTTATTTCGTCCTATTGTGGGACTTCTCAGTAGTATGCATCCATGAACCCACCTCTTGAAATTCGAACCCAGGGCCTATCGGTCTCATGCGCGAATGCTTAACCTGCTGGACCACTGAGCCGGGATCCATTGGTGTTAATTTCTAACCTCAATCAACTGCGCGACCATCTTCCATTGTACTGAGGTAGACACCTGTTTCTACCCGACACGGAGGAGTCCCACAATAGGATGAAACGGTCGTTCAGTGCTTCCAGATTTTCAATGGTGGTCTGACATCAATCGGTTCATGATCTCAATCAAAAACTTAACAATCTCCACAACCCCTAAACTGATTATCAAATGTTTTTTTAAAAATTCCAATCTTCTATTTCATTGTTGAACAGTTGATGTATTCATATTTATAGGGATTTCTTTATTCAGTTTGTAAACAACTTTGGACCAAAATAATCGATTTTATTGATTTCAAATTATAAGTTTACCTTTGTTCCTTGTATTCGCATTGACAATATATGTATATTCTCGAACATGTGATATAATTTTTGTTTATACGTTGTTAACATGTCCAAGTGTTAATGTTATGTAAAGAAAAAAATGTTT